AATAAAATTTAAAAAAAATAGAGAAATCAACCAGACATGGTGGCAAACACCTGTAATCCCAGCACTTGGAATGGCGGAGCAGGCATATCTCTGTGAATTCGAGGCCAGCCTGGTCTATGAAGGGAGTCAAGGACAGCCAAGGCTACACAGAGAAACCCTGTCTCAAACAAATAAACAAAACAACACTAAACAAAACAAAAACAAGACAGAGAGATCAGATTCAGATTTGAGGAAGCGAATTCCGCTTCTGGACAGATGATGTCATGGAAAAGTCATTATGAGTGGCAGCTCAAGAAAGCAGCATCCCTGGTGCTTTCTGGCCAAATTGCAGTTAGCTGGGGCCAGTTTCTGCTTGTATAAACCCCTTGAGGGGAGGACCTTATCAGTCTTGCACTTTTGGAAACTTCTAGAGCCTTGTTTTGTTTACTTCCTAAATATTGGGAGCCTCACTTCAGGAAAGAACACTCTGATCTGGAGGAAATGGCTACAGAACAGAAGAGAACCCCAATAGTACTGTCCTATGAGTTTCATGAAGCTTAGTTCAGGGGTACCATACAACCATACTTGGTTGTGTTGCTACGAACACAACCAGGAGCTGAAATGGCACTATTTGAGAAGGATTGGGAGGTTGTTGGAGTAGTAGAGGCCTTGGAAGAAGTTTTTCACTGGAATGGTCTTTGATGGTTCAAAAAGCCCACACTAGACCCAGTGTCTTCTTCTTCCCTGCCTGCAGAGCAGGATGTACTTCTTAGCTATTGATCCAGTGCCATGAGTCCCACCTTGGTCCTACCATGCTCCTGCCATGAAGATAATGGACTAAGCCTCTGAAACTGTAAACAAGTCCTCCAGGTAAATGCTTTCTCTTATTACTGTGGTCATGGTGTCTCTTCACAGGATTAGAACAGTGATTAAGACAATGGATCTTGTGAACGACAAGGAAGAAACAGAGGAGCTAAGCCTCTTTACAGTAGTAAGCTCCTTGGAGAGCAAGCCCATTGTTGTAAAAATGGATCCAGGCTCTTGAATGACATTCATCCCTCTTCAGAACCTCAGTTCTCAATACCACCCAATGAAGGATGTCATTCCAAAATGAGTTTCAAACCAAGGCAATTCGCTTCTTTATGAATCAGTATGGATTATATATAACTAATGGTTGACAAGGAGGCTTCAGTCTTGGCCCAGCCATAGAGCTAGATACTGCATTTCAAAAGGGTCCTGTTTGTACATCAGGAGCTAAATCTAAATGCCCATGGAGTCAACAATTAGGAAGGGAAGATGGTCACAGAGAAAAGAAGGCCTGGTCTCTCAAACCTTTAAAGACGATCTAGAACCTTTGAGATGGAGTGAACACCAGTGCTTTTTAACCACATCTTGTCTTCCAGTTTTGACTTAGAGAGACTTCATCCTCAGTGAATACTGTCACTGAGTCCCTAGTTAGCATGAAGTCCAGGGGTCAGAGAAGCTGAAGAAAAGATGGGTCAGAATCAGTGGGAACACTGGGCCCCTCAGAAATGATGCTGGAAGTGCAGGAGTCTTTCTACCCAAGATGACCAGTGACTGTGTTGGCCACATGGCATGTGCAGGCATTCCTCCATGGAGTTCAGTTCTGTGGAGTGAGATATATTATCATCCCCTTCTTTATCTATAAAAAGAGACGCTACAGGGTCCATCTTTACTAGGGTTTTACTCTAGAGGTCTGCCATTTGATAAGCGGCATCTGGGCACAGGCTTCCTGCAGGTCTCACAGAGTAGCATGGCTGTTACCATCCTTCTGAGTCAATCTTGCCAAGCTAAGGGTCCAGTCCTCGTCAAACAGAACACCCTCTCCTTTTGAGCCATGCCTGACATCTATGATCCTGAAGTTACCTCCACCCAACATGCTTGACTGCAACTGAACCATCTTTGTTTGGTTTTTATTTGTTTGGGTTGTTTTGTTGGTGGCTTTTGGTCTTTCAAGACAAAGTCTCATATAGCTCAGGCTGACCTTGAACTTGCAAGCTACATAGCCAATGGTGACCTTGAAATCCTCATGTATTTACGTCCCAAGTGTTGGGATCAGATGGGTGTGCCACCATATCCAGCTTCTATCTTGTCCTAAGTGAGAGTTATTCATATGATTACCTCAGTAGGATGCCAGGCAGGTAGCCAGTGTTCTGTAGCTTCCTGAAGACCCTTGCTCACAAAGTTGAGCAGCTTCCACTGGCTACTTCTGGTTTGTCATTGCAGCCTCGCCTCTGCTCTTTAAAACCATCTGAAGCCTGGACCATTTAACAGCATACTGTGTCTGCTATACAAAATATTGATTGCCTCTTTTGAGACTGTTTTCTCACACAGCCTCCTGTGGTGAGTTGAAAATGGAGTTCCACTCTCAACATGTACCTTTTTTCTCAAGTTCAACCACCACAACTCTTTAGTGTGACAAGATGTTCTTATCTTTATTTTATTTCTTGCTGGTGAGGCTGCTGAGCAGGAGCACAACTTTATGCACGGCTTTGCTTAGATTGTCCTGTGGTGCACTCAGGAAGCAGGCTGCAATACAGACTGCATGGTCCTCACCCCTTGGGTACATTTCTACTTACTGACCAAGGGGCTCAGGCATGGGGAAGCCATCTTAGCTTTTACCTATACAAAGTCAGTGCCAGCTTCCTATAGCCAGCCGCAGACATGGGACAAATGTGCAGTTCTATTTGAAAATCTTTCACACAATATCTTTTAAAGTCCTGAGCTGAGACTGAGAATTTCCCAGGGGGCTCATCAGAGACAACAGATTGATTTATATTTAAAATTGTAAAGGTGGAAAGAAGGTTAAGTATTGATAGGGAGCCACTAAGAGCATTAAGGTGATGGGGGGTGAGGGGTGGGGAGAGAGAGAGACAGATGGTCCTTGAATGCTAGGGCTGGTTTTTGCTGAATATTTGAAAGTTTACACATACCAAGACACTTTGAGGCAGAAAGTTGGCTAAATGCCTCAAAGCCAAACTGAAGTTGACCATTGTTTCCAGAAATTAGGAGTCCTGGAGTTCCGGACAGATCTGTCTGCCTACCATGAATGTGTCTGAATGGGATTCCTACATTATGTTGGCTAATTTAATTTTTACCATGAATTGTTATCATACCAAAAATATTACAGCTGGTGTTTTGCAAAGGAAAATAATATTTTAAAACGCATTGGCTTTTCCTAGGGTGGTATGTCCATCAAACCTCTTCAACTGTTTCACAACCTGCTAATTAGATTAAGCCAATTTAATGACTCAGACATATAAAATGCCTTACCTTACTTCTCCCTCCCCGACTAATGCATACATAGACAGAGAATTGGGTGGGATAATTTTAAGGCCAGACCCATATAAGCTGGGAGATTCAAATTAAGGTTTAATTAACCTGCTTAGTACAAGAATCTCTGAACAGCAGGGGATTTTACACACAGTTACATGCGATCTGTAATAACCAAGCACAACAGGCTCCTCCATTACATGTTCCAGGATGTCCACTTTGCCCTATGCACTTGATTAAAGGCCTGGAGTCTGTCATTTCCAGAAGAAAGATATTGAAAGACACCATCACTCATCCTCCATACACTGTAAGCACACACAGTAAGGTCTGGGGAATATGGACATATTTGAGTAGGCTGCCTGTGGAGGTAGTAACAGCCACATGAATTCATTATGCCATTGGCTGACAGTTTCTGATTGCCTGTATGGACCACTTCTCCGATGACACCCTGTGACGTGTTGAGAATGACATTGCCTGAAGCCTGCACCTCTATTGCAGTTTAACATGTTAAACCAAATCACTTGTCTTTGCCCTTTGGCAAGAAGGAAATCTTGTGTTACTGAGGGTCTCTATGATGGGTCAGGGTTCCAGGTTCCTGGTGACTTAATCAAACAGCTTAAGGAGCATGCATAGCTGACTGTGAAAGCATTTTCTCCAAAGAGAAAGAAACAATAGCAAGCAGATACCTTCAAAGAAACATCAGACTCTAGGGATGCTCAAGAACCCTGAGTTTCTACTGCTTCTTCTAATGGATCCTGGAGGAGGAGTGCGCTGTTAGGGGCAGAGGGATGAGTGGTTCATTGTTTTGACTGACAGATTTGGGTTGTATAAGCCTTTGTTCACTTTGTATGTTTTTCTTTTCCCATGACAGGTTCCAGCACGCACACACTCAGGGTGGTAATTAGAGATTGTCTTTAAAAGTTCGCTCTAAGAACACAGTTGTCTCACAGTTGTGCATATCTGAACCTAAACTTGATTCAGGCTGAATCTACTCACTCACTCCAGTTGTTCAGGATGTGTTCTGGGATGTGTTTAATTGCAGTCTAACTATGAAATGGAGAGTTGTGGTAGTGGAACTGAGTGCTGGAGGGGGCCATGTAAGCTAGACAAAAGGTGGAGGCCAAGCCACTAAGGAACCCCTGCAACCTGTATGCTCCACCCCATGTCCCACTTTGGAGGTCAGAGGGGTGTGTGCAGAGTCACTTCTTTAAGTCACTGAGCTGGCCTCTCCTTATCACAGTCAGTTCTAATCCAAGTATGAATGAATGCTAGGACTTCCGACTTGACTGATTGCTTGCCCTCTTTTGAACTCTCGCCTCCACAGAATAGCCATCTGCGAGATATTAGGCTTTATAAGAAAAGCATGGGGACGTGGGTACACACCCCTAACAAAGGCTCTGCCTAGTGTGGGGAATGAAAGGCCCCTCCAACAAACAAGTAAGATGCTCTTTCTCCATCTATGTCACAGTTCACCTATCCTAGCCCACCAGCCTCCAAATCAAAAATGGTACACAAACTTACCTGGTCACTCCTCTCTAAGCGAGACACTGCCTGTGGGGTTTCCTGTGGAAGAGGGTACAACTAACTCTGAGCAATGGCCAATATGCTGGGATTTAAACCCTGATCCTCTAAAAGAGCAGCCAGTGCCCTTATCTGCTGAGCCATCTCTCCAGCCCTCTATTGGTTACTTTTTTCAGCATTGAGACAGTATACCTGGCAGAAACAACTTAAGGGGAGAAAGGTTTATTTGGCTCAAGGTTTGAGAAAGGACAGTTGATCATGGCAAGGAAGGGATGGTGGGGGGAGTGGCTTGTGACCTTAGCAGCAGGATCTTGTGGCTGTCAGTCATGGTACTGAATGTGTCTGGATGAGGGCTGGGGCCTAGGCTACGACTCTCAAAGCCCATGCCAGAGACCTAATTTCTTCATCTGTCAATCTTGTCAATGATATCACATTGAAATTCCTCTTTATTGCAAGAAATGACATGGTGTTTATGTGAGAAAATGTTGGCATTATTTTAGAGATTCACTGTGAATTATGTGGACATGAAATCTTAAGACCTGTAATTTGCTTTTAAATACTATATTAGGTCATTTTTCCTGCTATTATCGAGTATTTGACAAGAAGTGACTTTAAAAAGGGAGTGTTTAATCTGATTTATAGTTGACGGTACTGTTGTTCCACTGTGGCAAAAAGGCAGGTAATAGGAGCACGAGATGGCTGCCGACATCATGTCTCTAGACAGGGAGTGGAAAGTGTTGCACGGTGATGCTTAGCTCGCTCTTGGTTTTCTATTCAGTCCAGGACCTCAGCTCATGGGTTGATGCCACCGACGTTCACGGTTGTTCCTCTTCTCCTCAGCTAAACCTTCCTGAATGTGGGTGGGTTATACTTCAATATCTCATGCACACACTCTGTCTATTAGGGCATTGGCCTAATCAGGACAGGTCAGGGTATTGTCCCACTGCTTAGGATACTGTTCAGCCACCACAGTCCTGGTGAGAATTCCACCTCTCCCAGAATGTTCGAACAGTGGAAGGTTCAAGCCAGGATGTTGTTGGGCTCAGCAAGAAGCCATGTGTCCCAGCTGCCTCCGGGTCCTCAGTCTTTGTTAATCTGGAGAAAGAAGAAAGCGTGTCAAAGGGTGCCCTTTAATTGGCTGTGATCTGCTGCAGAAATATCCACGGGAGGAAAATAACACTTGAAGGTGACTAATAAAAAAAAAAAAAAAAAAAAAAGACTAGTTTAAAAATAGTCTCCTGGTACTGTCCTTCCTTCCATGCTTCTTAGTCTCTATTCTGAGCCCTCGGGAATATTTGGAGAAAGGAAGAGACTTAGCAAAATGGCGAATGATACGATGGCCCTGGGACAATTGCCACTGGCTTATGTGAACTACTGACACCTGTAAGATTAAATCAATTGGTCTTTAGTCCTGGCCATGATGTGAATAAATAGTAATAAGGTATAAGAATCAGAGCCCTTTTCATGTACAGATTGTCTTCTCAAACACCTCATGTGTGAACATGAGGGCCCCTGATGTGATTGTGCTTCTATTGCTCATTTCCTTAAAATGTGTGATACCCGTGTTGTGTTTCTAGAAATGAGCAGGATTCTGTGCACAGTTTACCACTCACTCTCGGAAAACAAGCCGTGCTTATCTGTGATGAGATGTCATTTCCAAAGACTGTGAAAACTCTGAGTTAGTTAAGACGGTATTTATCACACAAAACTGGATTTCCTTGAAATTAGGGTCACCTGTTCTGATTCGGACATCTGGAGGGAGTTATTGTCCCTGTCATGTATAATTGAGAGGAACAAGAAAATTAAGTGTAATACAAAGCGGGAAAGTGGAATTTTAAAATATTTGGCGTTTCTTCAGCCGACACTGGGCAAGCCATGCCCACAATCACAGAAGCAGCACGTGAGTATGAGGATGGCACAGATGCTGCTCTCGGGAAGTGGGTCCAGGAGAGAAAGGGATGTGCTGTAAAGGTGTGAGAGTGAACAGGCTAGCTGATAAGGTGTGGGATGTGATATTCCCATGTGCTTCCCTGCCTATGGAAATTTCTGCCATAATGCCAGGCTTAAGTGTCCTTCTAGCTTGCCAACTCCAGCCATTTTCTCACCTGGCTGCCCTGGGAGGATCAACTCTAAGAGCTGTTGGCATCTTGGTGGCTGAAAAACAGGTCCACACTGCAAGTCCCAGGAGCTTGGAAGATGCTATAGCATTTTGTCCTCCGAAGTAGACATCCTGAGAGAGCGTGGGCTTCTGGGATCAAAGAAAACAGACCAGAGCCTGCTCTACCATTGTCTCCCCTTCCTCCAGGATCAAGAAAGAGGGTAGCCTGGGTGCCGCTCACTAGAGACACATCCTGTCCTCCTACGTGCTGATGGTCCCAAGCGGGGCATCTCTCAGCTCTTATTTTTCATGTCAACCCGGCAGTCCTGTGTCTGACTTCCCAGAATGACCCTTTTTTAGAAGATGACTTTCTGGATTATACTGGATTTTACAGCGTTTACCAATTTGCACCCACCTGGAATGTAGATGTCACCTTCTCAGAAAATAGCATCTTCGAGGATGACACAAAGGTTAAAATAAGGCTACCCTGGAATGATGACTAGGTGGGACCTAATACATTATGACAGCTGTTTTTATGAATAAAGAGAGATTTGGTCATGGAGACACATGCTAGAACAAGGCTATTCGAAGATGGAGGGAAATATGAAAGATGCTGACTAAGACTGAACAATGAGAAGAGAGCTGGAAGGACACACTTACAGACCTTCTAGGGACACTGTGGACCCTGACATTGTTTCAGACTATGAACTACAGACCTAGTAAATTATGAGTTTATGATCTTTTTTAAATTTAAATTTGTTTTTTATATAACTTATTCACTTTACATCCTGATTGTAGCCCCCTCCCTCATCTCCTCCTGGTCCCACCCTCCCTCCGTCTTCTCTCCTATCTCTGTCCCCTATTCCTCAGAAAAGGGGAGCCCTTCTGCCCCACCATCTGACCCCAGATTATCAAAGTCTCATTAGGACCACCTGCATCCTCCTTCTCTGTGGACTGGCAAGCCCCCCCACCAGAAGGAAGTGCCCCCCCACCAGAAGGAAGTGATCAAAGAATGGGCAACAAAGTCCATGTCAGAGACAGCCCCTGGTCCCCTTGCTAGGAAACCCACATGGAAACTGAGCTGCCTATAAGCTGCATCTGAGCAGGGAGACTAGGTCCTCTCCATGCATGGTCCTTCGTTGGTACATCAGTCTTTGCAGGGCTCCATGGGCCCAGATTTGTTAGCTCTGTTGGTTTTCTTATGGAGCTCCTGTGTTGGTATAATGTTCTTTTGAAATGTATACACTTTACACTTGTTCATTCAAATGCTGATTTCTTTCCCCCACTCTCTGGTTTCAATCTGGACACTGCATTGTGATATTTATTCTAAGCATCACCTGTCTCAACTTTGTGTAAACATGTCAAAATAAAGCAACTAGCCACAATGTTGAGCAAGGGAAAGGAAGCAGGAAGAGAGGGAGGAGCCAAAGGATAGGAAGGTGGGAGGCAGAGGAGGGGAGAAGGGCACGAGGCAGAGCTGGGAGAACAGAGGCAGGAGCAAAGATCTTGGAATGATGTAGAAAGATGGACTGGACCTAATGTATCACTAAAAGCAAGTATAATGTGGGAAACCTAAACAGTAGAAACTACGTGGGCTTGGAGGTTTAGGATGGAACAACCATTGTGCTCTGGGTTATTAAATAAATCATAGTCTCTGTGTGGTGATTTGGGTATACAGCTGTTTAGGACTAACAGCAGTATTACCAGAAGATATATCAATAGTAAATATTAATTGCCACCTACAACACTCCTGTCCCCTCTGGGTCCTTCTATTCCCCTACTCTTTCCTAGGACTCCCTGCACTCTACCCAAAGTTTGGCTGTGAGTCTTACAATCTGCTTCGGTCTTCTACTGGGTGGAGTCTTTCAAGGACATCTATGGAAGGCTCCCTACCCCTATTCCCTCTCTTCAACCATTTCCAGTGTTTTTCTGTTTGCTCTTCTGAATGAGAATTAAGCATCCTCCCTAGGGTTTTCCTTGTTCTTTAGCTTCTTTAGGTCTGTGGATTGTAGTATGGATGTAGGATTTTTTTTTTTTTTGCTAATATCTGCTCATAAGTGAGTATATACAACGCGTGTCCTTCTGTTTCAGGGTTACCTCACTCAGGATGATCTTTTCTAGTTCCACCCAATTGCCTGCAAATTTCATGATGTCCTTTAAAAAAATAGGTGAGTAGTGTTCCATTGTGTAAATGTACCACAGATTCTGTATCCATTCTTTGATTGAGGGACATCTAGGTTATTTCCAGGTTCTGGCTATTATAAATAAAGTTGCTATGAACATAGCTGAGCAAATGTCCTTGTTATATGGTGGAGCATCTTTTGGACATATGCCTAGGCGTGGTATAGCTGCATCCTGAGGTAGCACCATCCCCAATTGTTTGAGATAATACCAGATTGATTTCCGAACTAGTTGTACAAGTTTGCACCAGCAGTGGAGGAGTGTGGTCTTTTCTTATATCAGCTCTAAGAAAGTAACTTGGCCTGTAGAGGAATGACAGGTTTAGGAAGACAGCACAGTAAGAGCCAAGTGAGCGTGAGAGTAGTGCTACACTGTAGAAGCACAGCTGCCTGTGCTCTAGAATTGGGACACTGAGGGAGGCACGCCAGGCCTTTCTGTATTCCGTTAGGCAAGCACGCCTGCTCCACTTGAACAGTCGCCAAGCACAGGAAGGCCACCAACTGCTTTTCTCAATCCTCTGCAATTTTTATAGGCAATGGAATTTCTCCTGAGATAATGATCTTGTTGGCTGCCAGTCTTAAGTCAGAGCATTTCAGTGGTGTGTGTGTGCACACGTTTGTGTGTGTATCTGTGTGTAGGTATGTGAATATACATTTGCATATATGTATGTTTGCATGTAGATGTGTGTTTACATATATGTGATCTTAGATATGTGCAGGGAAGACACACTATGCTGGATGCTTGGAGGAACACATAGTATAAGAGAAATCAATAGAAGGGATTAACAGTGTTCATTGTGTCACTGAAGTCCATCTACACATGGGCACAATCTGTGTGCTGTGTTCTGGGGACACCGTTTTTACTCAGGTAGTTCTTCCACCTCAGTCCCACCCAGCATAAAATACGTTCTTCCTAGAGGGCCCTGAGAGCCAAGAATACCCAGAACAAGTTTGAAATCAGGAAAAGAAACAGTGAGCCTTGTGTGGAGGCCCAGCACAGCCCTAGTCCTCTGGCCAGGATACCAGGGCACAAGCTCCTTGGTGAGGCAGACACTTGGGCATTGGAGGAAAGATCTGCCTATGGAAGTTAGCTCAAATGCAGAGTGTGATGAAAGACCTTAAGGGAATGCCATGGAGACTAAGAATAGGCAAACATTCAGCAGGGTGTCAGGATTTCTAGGAATTTCAGGCTCTACTGCCAGCTATGGCTTCTCATTTTAATGTCCATCAGCAAAGTGCCGCACAGCCAGCGACAGACACACTCTGTGACTGCAGAGCAGAAAGCTCTGTCCAGTCACACAGTACGTAGCCATGGCTTCAGGCAGCCGCATTGCCTCATCCCTTCTGTGACCTAGGCATCACTAACTGACATAGAAACTTCACTGCTCTGGGTCAAGCATCCGTTCTAAGCCAAGCACATCTGGCAGTGTGACAGTTCCTATAGTATTATATCATGGCTGCTAAGGGGAGCAAAGAACTGAGTAGGGTTTGTTCTAGAAGGGCATATGACATGGCAGAAAAGCAGAAATAGGGTCAATGCAGATAATGAGTTGACGCTCTTACCTCAGCCCCCTGCTCACACGGTGACAAACCTGCAATCTACATTTGCGCACAGAAACTTGCACATCCTACATAGCAATCAGTATGCACCCCATCCACACACAACTTCTGTTTACATACACCCAGCTACACTTCCCAACCCCGAGATTAGCACTGTGCACAGAGGCACTCCTGCACACCCTGCACACTGAAGCTGTACACAGATATACACTCATGCCCAGCTGAAGAGATGCACACGAATTCACCAAGACTAAAGA